ATCTTCTTGGGTGCTGATGGGAAGTGATTGAAATTAGCTGCTGTGACCAAAGAAGTTGCGTTCTCCAGTGGTTTCCTGGCTTGTGCCATGGGTGGGAGGTCATGCAGATAGGTGTGAGGACACTGCACCAGCAACCCCCCTTCCCTTGGTGACTCTTGTCCTCTACCATTCCCATGTAAGCTGTCGGAACAAAAGCCCTGCAGTTTGGGGTGCAAAAGCACTTTGTGCAACCCGAAATGCTGCCCCTGTAGCCCTTCCTGCCTGCGCTGCCCTGCTGGAACTAACGAGCCCATTAAGGGCTGCAATTCCTGGCTGGGCTTGCCTTGTCTTTGCCTTGGAAATGCAGTGGCGTCCTTTTGGGGGGAAGCAAGAGCATTTGAACGTTTTACAGAAGTTTTGAGCCACGTTTCAAAGTCAGTGGGGCCTGGGTGTAGTGTCACAGAAACGCCTGGGGAATTATTCTCCATTCGTGCTGGGAGCAGAGCATCCCCTGCCCGGGAATTCCCGCAGGATGGGAGTCACTGTGGCACTTTCCCCCCGGGAAACACACACACCGCGGGTCCCTGTGCTTCTGGTGAAAGCGGCGCCCTTTTGGGGGAAAGCGAGAGCATTTGAACGTTTTACGGAAGTTTTGAGCCACGTTTCAAAGTCAGTGGGGCCTGGGTGTAGTGTCACAGAAACGCCTGGGGAATTATTCTCCATTTACGTGCTGGTCTGATCACCGCGGAACTAAGGAGCTGGGCTTCACAAAGGTCTGAAGTGAGTCTGAAATATTCTGGGAAATGAGTTTTATGGAACAAATGCTCTTTGTTTTCCGCAGCGATAGCGAGGACTAAAGGGCCGTGGGGGTTGACCTGCCCTCCTGCTGGGAGTTGAGGTGTCAGCCGTGGTTTTTCTGGGGGCGGGGAGAGTATTTTGGGGAGATAACGTTATATATTTGTGCTGAGGTTGATCTCCTCCCTGGGAGCGGGCTGCAGGCGGCCGATGTTACGGGTATTTGATGAGGAGGAGGTTTTGGCTCGTGCGGTGCCGCCGCTGGGCTGGGAAGGGGAGGTAAGAGGGGGGTGTTTCTTTGGGTGAGTGGGTATTTTCTGACATTGATGGTATTAGTGGGATTTAAATGAACCTGAAACCTTTTGAGCAATCCCTTTGCCGGGGTCCGCCATCGACCTCAGTGAAAAACCTGGCAGCTCTAGGTGTGTGTTTATCTGTCAGGCCCTGTGTGCCTGTGCCTAGAGGGTTTATAATCACTGCAATTGTAATTTCCATGCCAGAAAGCAGACAGTTTTTATTCCTGTGGCTGGGATTGAGCAAAGTTGTACAATCATGTCAGCATTGTGCAGTTTGCTCCTTCTGCAGATACTGGTTTGCCTGGATGGGAAAGCGGGGCGTAAGTACCTTGTGCGGGTGGAACATTTATTTGTGGGCTGAAAGATCCATGGATTGGGAAGCAGGAACGGTGAGTTCTCATCTCCTCTCTGACCCTGGCTTGTAATAACCTGGAACAAACCACTTCACCCATTTCTCCACCGTTCTTTTTCTCATTTGTAAAGTAAAATTGGTGTTTCCAGGGGATACCTGGGCAATAAAAGCCGGGATAGGGCTGAGTGTTGCTGGTAGTGCTGCTGCTGTTTCACTTGTCGATCTTCTTGTACAGCCAGAACTCTTTGTAAAACTTCTTATTCCTTGCTCTGGTCTTGCCAAAGCATTTCATACCTGCTGGATTCCTGCTGCTGCCTTCACTGAAAACGGGACCCAGGTGGTCCATTTTCTACTGAGGCTCCTGAAGTCCTCCCTCGCTGCCTTGAACTAAACAGTTGCACACAAGTATTTTAAGTGAGAGTCTAATCCCTGAAGGCCAATTAAAAAGCGGGGTCCTGCATTAGCACTGCCTTTCAGGGAGGAAGATTTATATCAAGTTTTGAGCATTTTGGTGGATTTGCTTAAAATGCTGCATGCACTTTGACTCGTTGCAGGGATGACTTGAATCCCATCTGCTTAACTCAGAGCCCGGGACACGCAGTGTGGAACACTGAACTGCAACAGGCATTTTTGGAAGTGAAGATGAAATTTTTGCCATTTTTGTTACCCACAAAGCCCCCCAGGAGGAGCGAGGCTGTTCCCTTCCCGTGGCTGCGTCGCTGAGCACCTCGGAACTCGGTGCAGGGATGAGCGGCCCCCCTTTGGGAACCGCTTGGGTTTATAAAGCACTAATGGAAATGCAGGCAAAGTGCTGCTTCCCTTATTTATCTGCTGCTAACAGGGACCACGTGGGGGTTATTGTTTCCATTTCTAAGGGGGGAGAGTCTGAGGGGGAGCAGAATCGGAACAAACCACTTCACCCATTTCTCCACCGTTCTTTTTCTCATTTGTAAAGTAAAATTGGTGTTTCCAGGGGATATCTGGGCAATAAAAGCCGGGATAGGGCTGAGTGTTGCTGGTAGTGCTGCTGCTGTTTCACTTGTCGATCTTCTTGTACAGCCAGAACTCTTTGTAAAACTTCTTATTCCTTGCTCTGGTCTTGCCAAAGCATTTCATACCTGCTGGATTCCTGCTGCTGCCTTCACTGAAAACAGGACCCAGGTGGTCCATTTTCTACCGAGGCTCCTGAAGTCCTCCCTCGCTGCCTTGAACTAAACAGTTGCACACAAGTATTTTAAGTGAGAGTCTAATCCCTGAAGGCCAATTAAAAAGCGGGGTCCTGCATTAGCACTGCCTTTCAGGGAGGAAGATTTATATCAAGTTTTGAGCATTTTGGTGGATTTGCTTAAAATGCTGCATGCACTTTGACTCGTTGCAGGGATGACTTGAATCCCATCTGCTTAACTCAGAGCCCGGGGTGTCAAGTTTTAAGCTTTTGAGCATTTTGGTGGATTTGCTTAAAATGCTGCATGCACTTTGACTCGTTGCAGGGATGACTTGAATCCCATCTGCTTAACTCAGAGCCCGGGACACGCAGTGTGGAACACTGAACTGCAACAGGCATTTTTGGAAGTGAAGATGAAATTTTTGCCATTTTTGTTACCCACAAAGCCCCCCAGGAGGAGCGAGGCTGTTCCCTTCCCGTGGCTGCGTCGCTGAGCACCTCGGAACTCGGTGCAGGGATGAGCCCCCCTTTGGGAACCGCTTGGGTTTATAAAGCACTAATGGAAATGCAGGCAAAGTGCTGCTTCCCTTATTTATCTGCTGCTAACAGGGACCACGTGGGGGTTATTGTTTCCATTTCTAAGGGGGGAGAGTCTGAGGGGGAGCAGAATCGGAAATACCTAATTCAAAGGGTTGAATTGGGAGCCTGATTGTTTCAGGAGCCGTCTCGTGGGTAGGGAGGGGAGATTTCATTTCTCTTGGCTCGGGTGGATATTTTGCGAAGGTGTTGTGACTCTTCTTGACTTGGGAGGGACCTGAAGGCTTTGTGGAAACTCTTAAAGCTTTTTGTCTATATTCCCTAACCATAACAAGGTCTATTTTTAAACATACTATGTGACAAAGTAAATATTATAATGATCTAAAAGCAATTAGAATATGCTCGTAGCCACGTTAGTCATGTCAGGACTGTGCCGCTTCACATTTTAAGTTCTGGCCCTGCTTTGTTTTATAATGCTTTTGTGCACCCCCGTTAAGGTACGAAATATTAAATTAAACCCCCATCAAGCTCTTAGAGCATTTAGCTGCTGTTTATTTGAGCCAGTTGTTTAACATTCCAGGCACTGGGCTCTGTTGAATTCCTGTGCCATCGGTGCTGTGCGTGGGACAAGGAGCAGAGCTCGGAGCTGGTGGCTCTGTGGGGCAGGCTGTGCCCAGTTTGCCCTTACTGGTTTCTCACTGGTTTCTCACAGCTGGCATGTTTTTTTGGGGGGGAAACTGAATTACAGAGTAATGGGGAGCTGTGGTTTCACAGTGCAAGAGTCTCTGTGGAGTTCCTGGCTTCAGAATCCATCTTTACAGTGAACTGAAATTAAAAAAATAGATATTTTTATAAATGAATGTACTGTCTATGTGTTAGATTACAAATTCTGCCCTTGCACAATCAGTGTATTGAGTAAAGGAGGTTTTTAGGCTTAACACGACGCTGTTCTTTCCAGTACTGAAAAAATATTTCCATTTCTGTTCAGACTTCTCTTCTGACCTCTGTGTGGAGCCTTGTCTGTGAAAGAGGACTTAATGTAGTCTGGAAATGATTTAAAGTACTGATTTTACTAATTAAATCAGAAAGCAAGAAACCTTCATTTAAAGCATGGTCTTTTCTTTGCTAAGTATTTATATTATTTGGATTTTTCCTTTAACTGTAACCGGTTCTCATTGCAAGGTGCTGATACTGCCAGGTACAGCTTTCAGAGAAAATCTGAAACACACTTTTTTCACACCTCAAGGAACTGCTATTTAAACTTGCATAGCTTAACGTACATCATTTGAAATGGTAATGTTTAATTTTTAAAACTGATGACTAGTGCAACTCTCTACCAGTTTGGCTGGTTGGTTTTTCTCCTGTTACAGTGAGTAGCGTCAAGCTGTGTTAGAGCGAGAACTGCAAACTGACTAAAACTTGGGGGAGAAAACATGGACCAAAATGTTTTGCATTTAAGAATCAACGGCCCTTTATTATCAAAGGCTTATATTGATGAGCTGCCGCGCTCTGTACCCACTTCCCTTTTTGTAGGAACCTTTCCTGCTTTTTGCTCTCCTTGCCCATGAAGCTTTCTCTGCGGGTATATATGGGACTAATCCCATTTCCCTCTGTGGGTGGAAGGTATGGCTCATGTACACACTCTGGGTTTTTATTGTCGAAGTGATGGGGAAGAAAAACTTCTCTTTTCCATCAGTTCTCTCTTCTTACACGTTAAGAGTGATTTGTGTAGCTTTATTGTGCAGAGAGGTCTCTGGGCTGTGCTGGGTCCAGGGGACAGTCTCAGGCGGGTAATTCTGCTGTTTGTACCCAAAAGGGGTTGTGCAATCATTTTCCACATGTGAATGTTTCTTTATTTTCCTTTTTTTCCCTGCAGTTCTCTACATCCAATGATTTTCTTCATTCTCCAAAGTTAAGGCCCTCTCCAGGAGCACCAGTCAGTGATGAGTTATTTTTTAGTAGAAAAAGAGCTTCAAAGAATTTATTTCAGAACAGTATAGACTTCAACTCAGAGCATTCTTCTGTTTGTGCTGGTGAGTATCAACACAGAAAAGCATTTGATCTGCTGTTTTCAAAATACATGTAGAACAACCTGAGCATGAATTTGCAGCTGCGTGAGCATGATTCATCATTTGCTGATTGTTTGTTTTGTTATTTATTTTCATTTACTATGAAGAATTGAGTACTGGGCAGTCCCATTCCCACCCCTGGAGAAGTGTCCACCAGCTCAGGACTGGGGCCGCTTTTTTCCCAGATTTTTCACTAGTTTAGGTAGACCCTGGAAAGTTTATAGATCAGCTATTTTTGCAGGCAGCAAGACCAAAAAGTAGTGTGGTTGTGTGAACAAAAGGGCCCAGGAGATCCTTGAGTTGCAGAACTGTCTGGTGCTTTTACAGAATTGGGGAAAAGAAGCACCATGTAGGTCAGCAACAGAGTAATTCGACCAACATTCCTTCCCAGTAGGAGTTGCAGGTAAAGCAGTAAATTAAAAGGAGACACGGAACATTAGTGAGTTTTGAGCAGGAATAGGATGCTGGCTAGAATAGCAGTTATTGTCCTAAAAAGTACTCTGTCAAGAGTTAGCTGATAGTGGCAGCAGGGAAGGGAATACCATAAACTGGAGAATGTGTTGGGAAGGTCATATTTATGAAGGGTGGGAACTTCAGGAGAGCAGATCAGTACATAATTATTCTAGATTTGCATATTACCTCTTTTTTTTTTTTTGCTGTGTATCAGCAGCTGGGGTAGAAAGCTGGCTGAGGAGTGAGCTCTGAAGATCGCTTTAAAAAAATGATAAATGTTTTTGAAACCAGGTGTGTAACATGTAGGTCTAGTGCTCCCCTTGATTTACACGAGCAGCGTAGCCTTGGTGATTTGTATTTTAATAGCCAAAAGGCATGTGGAGAGAGCGGGCAAGACCAGACCTGATTTATTCCTGTCCCTTGGCAGCGGTCGGTGTCTGCGGGGACACGCGTGGCATGCAGAGCTTGCTCTGCTCTGCTGGCAGGGACGGCACGCTAAAGAAATCACTGCCTTTGGGGGCTTTTAGGGTGTTGTCTTCCCTTTATTGTCATATATTCCCAGAGGGGAGTGGTCTGGGTTTTTCTTTTGACCCCCTGCAGTTGTCAGTTGGAAAAGTGCCCTGGAAGAACGGCCAGCCGTTTGCCCAGCTTGTGCCTATCAACACTATTAGGAGGTTGCTTAGAAACTCTTGAATTAAAGACTTTCAAAGTAGTTATTGTTTTACACCAAAAGTTAGAATCCTAATTTGCTGTTAAATATTATTTATATTTTTCGTTGAATGCCGTATATTAAGTATTTATCTAGTTATTTGTGTTTTCTTTTGACAGGTGCTACGGGCTCTCATCAGCCCCAGATTTCAGGGAAATGCGGAACGCTCGGGTACACACAGACACGCAGGAAGAGTGGTAGTGTGGACTCTGAATTACAGTTTTTGGGATTAAATAACTGTCAGCAAGGCAAAGGTACGTGCATTCTAACTACTGCAAGTCAGCGCATGCTACTTTGGAAATGTCTTCTTATTTCTGTGCAGCCTTAAGAAATTAAAACTGTTACTAAAACGTTGTCTGGTCCCTGTTGAGATGTGGTTGTGCCTCCCTCCTGTGTAGTGCTTTTTATTCCTCGTTATTAATTTGCAGCCCACGCCTTTGGTGTCTGACCGTATCATTGTGCTATATAAAAAGTGGTGCTGTAACAGAATCTGAACATTTTTGGTTTTTTGGTTTTTTTTGTTTTTTTTTTAAATGAAGTTTTAGAGTTCTGTTACGTTTCCAGGTGAGATCAGCCCCCTGTTTATCCCCTGGGCCAGGTGGGAACCCTGATCTGCTGGTTTCCCCCTGATCTACTGGTGTGGGGACAGCAGGGGGTTCCGGCAGGAGGAGGCATCTCTGCAGCCTCCCCATGCTGCACAGACACTGTCTCGATGCATGTAAAGCTTTTAATTGTCCTATCATTGCTTTAGTTGGTGGTGGCACTGCACAGGTAGCCAGGGTGCTGCCGTGTCCAGCCCGGTGGACAGCAGTGAGAGTAGGGGTTTGATTGAGTGCACCTCAACCCTAGGGCTGGAGGACAGGATAAACCGGCACCTGGAATACGTAGAAACTTGTCTGTTCATCAGTGGTAATAGTAATAAAAATGCCAGATGTGCAATTAGTGGAGGAATAAACTCACTGTCTGGAGGAATAGATGGTAGAATAGATGGTTAGATGTGGTGTTCTTAGATCCAGGTGTGCTGGGTGAGGGACAGAGCTGATGGCTGCCTGGGAAGACACGCAGGAGCTCACTTTACTCCTGGCCACTTATGGGCTCTAGATACTCTGTTTTTCTCATGCCTGTGGGAAGAAAAGAGAAATTTCCCCTTTGTTTTTCTCCCTAAAGTACCGAGTCAGTGTTCCCTTCCCTGAGCCCTGCTCTTCAGGAGGCTGCCAGGAGCTCTGTTAGGACTTGTCCTCTGCTGCACCGCTAAAGGCTTGAGTGTGTGCGGGGAACCTGCCTCTGGTTTTCCTGAGAAACAAAACAAATCTGCACTTATCTTTCCATTTCTGACCTACTACTTTTTGGAAAAAAATAATTTTGGGATTTTTTTTTTTTTTCCCCAAGGAAGTAGAATTTGTAACATCTGTGCTTTATTTGTATTCTTGTGTCACTGAGGTTTGAGAGTGGTGTTTGCTGATTTTACTTTATGGAGGCTTGGAATACAGAGCCACAAGCAGCAGAACCACGTTCACTTCACTTGCATCATTCATTTTTTTTAAAATAGCTCTTCAAAACATGGCTGCGAAATAGCTTAGGCTCAGACTCATTTGATCAAATGAAGAAAAGGGAAATTGCTGTTTTGAGGGACAGTGCAATTTGCAAAATGGAATAAGCTGATTTGTCTGTTTGCTTGGGTAAAACGCTGACCTTTGATTTCGGCTGTCTAGAGGGAGTATTATTTCATTGTAAATCGTTATTATAAGAGCTGTCAAAGAGGGTAATTACCATAAATTCTGTTTTCTTTCTCTTTGCTCAGTTTGTGCCAGCCTGAATTTTTCCAGCAAGACCCAGAGAAGTTTTGGCAGCCAAGCAGAGCACACCATGTCCTTCCCAGGCCCTGGTGGCAGCCAGGGAGCCTTCCTCCTGCCCTCCTGCTCTCTCTCCTCACCCAGGGGCAGCCCCGGGCACGGCTCCTCCCCGGCCCATTCTCCGCAGAGGGCACAGGACAACACCATCAGCTTCTCCAGCTCCTGGCCCCTGAAGAGCTTTGAGGGGCTGCCTAAGCCTGGCTCGCAGAAGCCGCTTCTCGGCCAGAAGGCAGGAGACAGTCCAGGTGGGAGCGGTGGCACCGTGACCACAGCGGTTTGGGGGGCTCCAGCAGCAGCCAGGAAACCTGCAGTGGGGCAATTCCCCAATTACAATTACAAACGTGGGGGTTCATCGCCCCACTAGTCTGCTCACGACACTGGAGGCTGCTCTTAAAAAGCAAGGTCTTTGTATTTTGGTAGTTTTATGTGCTGGAATGTTTTATTCCTGTTGTCTTTTAAATATGTGAGAAGAGTGTGGCCAGCAGGTGGAGGGAGGTCATCTTCCCCCTCTGCTCTGCCCTGGGGAGGCCCCATCTGGAGCACTGGGACCAGTTCTGGGCTCCCCAGTTCCAGAAGGACAGGGAACTGCTGGAGAGGGGACAGCAGAGGCTACAGAGATGCTGAGGGGCCTGGAGCATCTCCCTTATGAGGAGAGGCTGAGGGACTTGGGGCTTTTTAGTCTGGAGAAGAGAAGGATGAGGGGGGAACTGATCAACACCTATAAATACCCAAAGGGTGGGTGTCAGGAGGATGGGGCCAGGCTTTTTCCAGTGGTGCCCAGGGACAGGACAGGAGGTAACAGGCACAAACTTGAATGTAAGAAGTTCCATCTCAACATGAGGAGGAACTTCTTTCCCGTGAGGGTGGCAGAGCCCTGGAAGAGGCTGCCCCATCCTCCTGACACCCACCCTTTGGGTATTTGGAATGTATTTATAATAGCAAATAAAATTGCATGCAGAAGTGTGTTTTTTGATACTCACCTCATTGTAGGAGGAGTTTTCTAGTGTGATATGGAAATGAGCCCTGAAGGTTATTAAGCCACCGTTTCTGGAGGGATTTAAAAAACGGGTTGACATAGTGCTTAGTGACATGGGTTAGGGATGGGTTTTATCAGAGTTAGGTTGATGGTTGGACTCGATGATCTCAAAGGTCCCATCCAACCCAGACAATTCTATGATTCTGGTGAATAACAGTGAATAATATTCTGGTTTATTATAGTGCGTGTCCTGCCACCCCTCCCAAGGGCTGACATCTGCTTGTGTCTTCTTCAGGGGAGAACCTGCCGGAGAAACATTCTCCTCTGCAGCTGAAGCCCACCCTGGTGAGACACCCCACCTCCCGCAGGGGCCTGGCGGGGGCCAGACCCGTGCCCCCCATTCCCCGCCTGGCCAGCCCCCTGCCCGACAGGATGGAGTTCAACCCGGCCAAGTGGAGAAACCAGGAGGAGGAGGACACGGGGCCGAAGGAAGCAGACAGGAGGCTTGCGGCCGATCTTTCAGAGCTCAGTGTTGATGACGAGGAGGTGGACCAAGAAGAGGTTGGTTTAAATCTGACATAACACGCTTAGAAGAGTTGATATAGTGTAAGCTTTTTTTTTTTTTTTCCTCTTCTAAACGAGAGCCAGAAAATAGTGTTTCTGACTTAAATTTTATCACACTTATCAGTTCAGCAGGTTTTCAGTGAGATACCTTTGGGTGTCTGATAGAAGCTAAGTCAAGCAATAAATACCAGGCGTCTTCATTTCCCCTGTTTTTCTCAGAGCCAAAGTGGTAATATTTTCACTTACCATAGTACCCAGGCAGAACTGTGGGCCTTTGTACAGCTTCTGTTCTTGTAACCTTGACTTCACTTTAAATTTCATGCCAGATTTAGGTAATAATCCTTTCTTCAGTTATAGCAAAGGGCCCAAAATAAGGAATAACCTCCTTGATGAAGGTTCATTTGCTTTAGTGTCTTGGTCTGCCTTCCTGGAGTCACTACTGAAAATAATTTAGGTGCTAAACAGATAGGGGAAGAGGTGTTTTTACATCAGATACACTCAATAAAAGGAGGAATGAGGCTGCAGGAGAGCTCTAGTCATTGGAGTTTTTGCTGGGTGTGTGGGCAGGAGCCCTGCTGGCTCTGCCCAGTTTCCAGGATTCCCCTCTGGGTATCTGGCACCTTTGTGTGGTCGGGGTGGGAAGAGCCTGATGTCCCAGCTGTGTGTTAGCAGCCATCAAACGCTTCCTTTAGTCTGGTAAAAAAAGACAAGAGCAGCTGATTTATTTTTGCAGGACTCTGTTACTGCATTGTGCCAAGCAAAGGCAGGGTACAGTTTGTGGAGTTTGTGTTTAATGGCATCTGTTGTTGTGCAGCAGAACAGTGAGAAGGCTGGCTCTAGGCTGCACAGCTGAGCTCCGGGGAACCACACACTCAGAAACATACTTCCTTTTGCTTAAAAAGCCTTTTTTTCCCCCTGCAGTGAATAAACCCTGCCGTTTTGTTTCTGGTGCTGTCCAGATGCAGAATTCCCTCAGATCTCTACGAAACAGCGCGGCGAAGAAGAGGGCGAAGCTGAGCGGCAGCATTCCCGATCCCGAAAGTCCTGACTCTGCCCTGAAGCTGGATGTGTCCCCAGAGTCCCCCTCCCAGGCTCCCTCCCCGAGCTGGGGCTCCTGCAGTGAAAGCGGGGTTCACAGCCAGGACTCCCCCACCTCCCCCGTGGCCACGGGCCCCCCGAGGAGGAGAATAACGTGAGTGGAACTGGGGTGTCAGCGCTGCTCTGAACTCCCACGTGTGCTCTCTGCTGCCCTTAGTGAAACCCCAAAGCCAGCAAAATCTGTAATATATCCTTTTATAGAAGATGGCTTTACTTAATCGCTTGATTTTTGTATGTGAATTATTTCCTGTCTAAAAATACATTGCTCTATATTTATATAAGATGGCTTTGCTTAATCGCTTGATTTTTGTATGTGAGTTATTTCCTGTCTAAAAATACATTGCTCTATACAGTAGCTGCTTAATTCTATGATTGTAGTTTGTGCTGGCTGTTAGTGGCAGAGTGCCCCTGTGCAGCCATGGTAACCCCGCGCGGCTGGGCAGGGACGGCCAGGGGTAGTAAATATTTCACGAAGACTTTATCCTGCCGTAGAAAGTATGTGACCCACAGCCTAAACAAATGAGTCAGAAGGAGAATGAGGTGAGAGGAAGGATAAGGTTTGCTTATTATAGCCTGGAAACTGAAGGAGGAACGGGTTGTGGGTTTGCAATAGGAAGGAGACAATGTGGATGTTCCTTATTGTTGGGAATTGTGAACTGTTGCCATGTTATTACATCTATTGTTAATTTAAAAGGTCTTCTCAGAGCGCTTCTAAAAAGAAATTGTGTGATGACAGGTGCTACTCAGATTGTAAAGAGCAATGGCCCAGTTGGCGATTAGCAGCATAAACTATTTCATTTTTTTTAATGAAATAAGTTTTTGAGGAATTTTTCAAGTTTTTGCAGTGCAGAATCTCCGTTTCTGCTCTGGGAGCTCATGATGAAGCCACTTGTAGCTCTGATCCAAGGACATCTCCTAGTTTTGAGCGTACTGAATATGTCTTATGTGCCTGGCATACAACTGAGTGAACTGAATAGGAAGGGGGAGGTATAGAAAAGGAAGGTTTTTGAGACAGAGAGGGAGACTGGAATGGTTTGGAAAGAGAAGGTTTTCACACCTTTAAAGTCACTTTACTATCAAGTCATGGTTTTAAAAACAGTCTTTAAAAGGAAAAATGCTAGAATACCTAAAAAGTCAAGACTATAAAATTCTGTGTGTGCTGTTCTTCCAGATGAGTGTGAGTTGAGTAGGACCCGTCCTGCACAACGTGCCATTTCCATTGCTCAGTGAGACACGGGCTTAATGTTTTACAGGAGTCAAAGAGACAGGAATCCTGAACTAGTGTGGAGAGAGGGAGCAGCTGGCAGGAAGACTGAATTTGTAGGAGTGACAAAATATATCCTGGAAGACATTAACAGCCTTGGAATGCTTGTAGAAACTTCAGAGAGTTTAGTTGAGGTGCTGGTTTGCGAGCACTGGAAATTGGCTTTTTTTTTTGTTCACAAAATCCATGTAGTTGGGGAACAGGAATGTTGGTGGATTCTGAAGGATCAGTTTATCTGCTCCTTGGCTCCTCGAACGTATGCTTAACTTGGTCCTACTGCGAAGTTTACTCTAAGGATTGTCTTTATGGTGTTCTTCATAATGCTCATCAAGTAATTTCTATTGAATTAATTTTCTTTTTCCACTCAGGGTGACCGTGCGTGGAAGTGCACTGGGAATATTTGTCCCCCAAGTACACTGGGGAGGGGAAACTGAGATCTATAGGTGTCTTTGCTAAAAAGTGTTACTAAGCTGGGCTCTGACTAGTGTCTAGGATTATAATTAAAAGTATTTCTTTTGTACTTTAACAGGTCAGACACCTTTCCAAATTATTTTTTTTGTACTTTAACAGGTCAGACACCTTTCCCCTACTTGGCAGCAAATCACAGCCTGCAAGAGTGTCTTCAGCAAGAGGCAGGGACCCAAAAGTGGCAGAACACAACTCCAGCACAGGTATGTCCCTGCACAATGTGTACCTCGTGTCACTCCTCACTCCGTGTGTCTGTGTTACTTGTTCAATGAGCTCATGTCCCCTCAGCACTTAAAAAAGGTAATTACTAGATGCTGTCTGGTCAAACGGAGATTATCCTGGGTGAGATAGGAGCTCAAGTGCTTCAGCCTTTCTGTGTCAGGATAAGGTGTGTTCATGCAAATGCTGCCTGTGAGCATGTGCACTTCAAAATCCAGTGCAGGATTGTGTGAAGATGCGTGGGACACCAGCTGGGTAAGAGTAGGAAGGGTCAGAATGTTGCAAGCGGTTAATTTCCTGGTAAGAAATGGAAGTTTAGTGATGCTGTAAGTGATGCTGTTCTCAAACCAGGACATTGGTGCTTCCAGTGAAGTGCAGTAACTGCTGATTCCTGCAGTGAGCAGAAAAAATGATTGTTTAGGATTATTTCTCTTTAATCAATTTTGTATTCAGCTGGATGGAGGAAAGGGACCGGGGGAGCCGTGTCCATGAAGGGCTTTTCCGACCTCTCTTCCCAAAGTCTGCTCTGTTGCATCCCTTGCACATGGAAGCTTGTGCAGCTTTTCAGATCTGACACCTTGAGCTCCCCCCTGCCTGCTCTCAGCCCTGGAGCTCATAGCTGGGTAAGAGTAGGAAGGGTCAGAATGTTGCAAGCGGTTAATTTCCTGGTAAGAAATGGAAGTTTAGTGATGCTGTAAGTGATGCTGTTCTCAAACCAGGACATTGGTGCTTCCAGTGAAGTGCAGTAACTGCTGATTCCTGCAGTGAGCAGAAAAAATGATTGTTTAGGATTATTTCTCTTTAATCAATTTTGTATTCAGCTGGATGGAGGAAAGGGACCGGGGGAGCCGTGTCCATGAAGGGCTTTTCCGACCTCTCTTCCCAAAGTCTGCTCTGTTGCATCCTTTGCACATGGAAGTTTGTGCAGCTTTTCAGAGCTGACACCTTGAGCTCCCCCTGCCTGCTCTCAGCCCTGGAGCTCATCTCTCTCCCCATCCTGATGGTCCCAGATCCTAGAGAGTGCTGTTGTGCCAAATACCCAAAGCAATTAGTGCATCAGTCTCTTGATGTTGCTGTATGAGACACTACAGCAGCCAGACTTCGTTGGGACAGAGCAGAAATTCGTGGTCGAGGAGGTCTTGGACCTCCAGGGCATGAAAAGATTTCCTGTGTTTTAACTAGCATTCGACTATTTTCACTTAGTTGATTTATGACTTATTTTGGCTTTTAATGCTGAACTACTTAGTATTCAGTTGTTTCTATTTGAAAGACTTTAAACTCACTAATAATTTATCAGGCTTTGAGTTAGATTTTCAGGCTGGATTTATCTGTAGCTGAAAGCCTTTGCCTGTGAAGAAGGAGCAGAGCCTGAGCATCTTTGCTGAAATGCTTAGATTTCAGTAGGCAAAAATGCTTGTACTGTGCGGATAAACCAGCCTGAGGGGCTCTGGAAATGTAACTACTGTAACTGTAGCACACAGAAAAAACTATTTTTTTGGGTTTTTTTTAAATATTTGATTTTTTTTCCTTTTGCATGGCAAGAATTTGATGAGAAGGGGACTTCTGCTGTCAGCGTCGTTGGCCAACAGTTGAACTGTGGCAATGGATGTGGAGATTATGAGGACAAGAAGCCAGGAGAAGTGTCACACATAATTTTTAAAAGTCAGAATGCAGAACACCAAAGGAATTTTAAGCATTCAAAAGGTTTGTGAGTTTGCTACATCGCTGTTCAGCTGGGTTCCCATTTATGGCAAAAACTGAGGCTGTGTAAAGCCTTTTGTAAAAGAGGTTTTATAGAAAATACCCCTCAGGTGTTTAGTGTGGTTTCCTCTTTTCTAGTCTTTGTACTTACACTGACAAGTTGGGGTTTGTTTTTTCTGACATTAACTGAAATTAGACTGCCAATTAAATTAAAATTAAAAGTCAAGCCATAGTACATGGCATGGAAGAAGGAGCAAATTGTTCTGTATCTCACTCTGAATAAATGGACAGCTTTAAAAGTTGGGTTCCAAACCGTTGGGATGCTGCAGCTCGTCTGGGGAGGGGCTGGGGCAGGGCTGGGTGGGATTTAGCAAATTCTGGTTTGATTCAGGTGTGCTGAATTGCGTAAGAAACAGTTCTGTACTCCACTAAGTCAGTTAGAAACTTCTGTTTTTTTCAGTGGAATCACTCAATTTTAAAATCCTCTTACAAACAGTCATTTTCTTTACCATCTTTAGGCAGCAGTTTTATTTGCTGTACGCTTTCCAACACTTTGAGGGTATCAATATTTAGTAAATCCCATTAACTCCAGTAACTTGACAATATACTGACTTGTAAAAGTGATAAATTCAGGTGTCATTGTATGATGACATTTTAGAAGAATAAAGCATGTACCAAAGTGTAAACTACATGGTTTATATTGTGTGATTTTTTTAATTTTATTTTCTTCTAAGGTCTTGTGGAGTCGATGTCTAGTTTTCCCCAGATGAACAATGTGGATTTCATTTCGCCAAGTGTCCTGGCTGACGATACGGTTGTAATTGTTGGTAAAGGTATTGCAAAACCAAGTGTAGCTTATAATGTTTTTAAAATGAGGGGAAAATATACTTTTATAGAGTGGGAAAAGTAGATTCCTTATATTTTAAATTGTGAAGAATCTCCAGTTCAAACAGAAATAAAAGGACTTTTGCTTGGAAGTTTTGCAGTTGCTGGATACACTGTCTCATTCCAGCATGGAATGGCAGCAAAGCAGGAAGGTTGGGTGGTGGCTCTAGCCTGGTGGGCACTTGTACCCGCCTCCATCCTGCTCGGTAGAAGGGAAGAGCACTTTTGGGTGGAAATTGGCACTAACAGTATAGCAGCAATGTTTTTATCTTTTTGAATAACTTTTGGGTTTCTAAGTTCTGCTGAATAAAAGGCTTCATTTGGAGAGGGCACAGCATGTTATTGCTTGCAGGTGTTTTTGGAAGTCCTCCTTTGGCACAGGCATACAGCCAGCCCATAGCCTGTGTCGCCAATGGAGATGATCAGGGTGGCCAAGAGGAGCCTGAGCCATCCTCATCCTCAGGGATCCGCAGGAGGAGCATCCCGCAGAGCAGTGTGTCCCATTTCCATGGTGAAAGTGAAAAGGAGGTAAGAACTTGAGAGCCACTTTGTTGTCTTCCTCCCTGTTTTCATAGGTATGAATACAGCTGAACAAAGTTTTATAGTCTCTGTTAAGGTAAACAAGATGTTTTGATTAAATCTGTTTTGATGAGAATAGATGAATTCTTGGCTCAGGTGAGTTGCATCAGTAACAGGTCCTTCTCTTGATGTTATTGGTTGAGTTCTGTTCCAAGGGGAAGGCTAAAGCTGCATTAACAATTTGTCACCGTCTGGTTGACCACATGCAAATTTTTGCTCTAACTGCTTATTTAACCATTTTGCAAACACCAGGAAGAACCCATTGGTTTCTTCTAATCTTTGCAGAATGTGTAATTTCCTGTGATTCAGCATTACATTGGGTATCGTGCTGCCCGGGGCAGGGGGTTGGAACTGGATGATCTTTTAGATCCCTTCCAACCCAAACCATGATTCTATGATTATTTTTCTAACAAGTGTTAAAACAAAACCTGGGTTATGTTTCCTCAGTCAGGTGACCCCCTGCAGCGAGCTCCTGCAGTTGAAATAGGACAGGACTGGGGGGTCATTCGTGGATTGGGACCAACAGAGGAGATAAATTTGGTCTTGGCACAGGAAACTTGTGTTCACCTCTCAAATGGGCAATTACCAATGGCACCAATTGCCAGTGCTGTTAATATCAGACTAAGTGGACTGTGTAAAGTGGTATTTGGTCCTGCCATATTTTAGGTTAAAAAAACCCAACGGTATGAGGATCTCTTTAAGCACTGTATAGATCCACTATTAGAATGTGTATTTGCTACTTAAAATTCTAGGAAACTACAGAACACTGCCAGAGAAATAGAAGCCCTTGTCTTTTACACCTTGATTCTCTAACTGGTCAGATATTTCAGAGTAAATTACTACTTTTCTTAAATGTTTAAACTTGGAATGGTGCTTCTCTTTGTGCTTTCTGCATGATAAGTGACATTTAGCTCTTTTCAGCATTGGATGTGATATTCGTATGAATAATTGCCTTTTGCTTTGTAGAACAATGGGGAAAATAGTAATTGTACATGTTTACCTTAAACAATGTCTGGAACTGGGTAACGAGTTCTTGGGTAACTTGAGCATTGTATCATAACGGGTGCCTTGATTTTCTGCAGATAAAAGTCACCATGTCCAAATCTGCCCAGGAAAAGATGAGGCGGAAGAAAAGAGAAGAGAAGGAGCAGAGTCATAAAGAGCATCAGGAAGGCAAAGACCTGGAAGAAAATGAGGAATACCCTTGGGAAAGACTTAAACTGAATGAACCAGAGAGAATGGCAAGAGAAAGTGAGGTTTAGTGTTAGTCTAAATGAATAATGTACTAGTGAATGCTGCTGAAATCAAAAATCTGTCGTAATTACCAAAAATCATGACTGTCTAATGAAACATAAGGTATTACTAGAATTAATTTTACACTGCAGTTTACTTGTTAGTCATTTGTTGTCAGTCTTCTAATGCGAATTGGAGTAAAGTGCTTCTGGGAAATATTTATTAGGCTGCAGTTAAGAAAAATTTCAGAAGACAAACTAGGGCTGTAATTACTATTTTTTTCCTTTTTTCTGATCTATTGTTGTTGTAGTTTGGACCTTTCCTTCTATTTTCTAGAGTTCAATCTCTACGGGGATATATTAACATCATCAAGAAACGTATCTTTGTCGTTAGAAAGCACGGCCTTGAATAGTGCCTTAAAGAGAACGTCCAGTTTGAAGAAGGCAAAGTGCTCGGCCTTGCTGGATTCCGGTGAGCTGGTACAGTCAGCGAAAGACTAGCCTTAAAATATTCGGGGGGGTGAAGTGGGACGGTTCCAAACTACAATCAAGGTTAATATGATTCATACGGACAGTCCTGAGTAGCTCAGGAAGATGAGGACTTTGCCTGGGGGTGCTGAAAGGGACTGGAATTCCTCACTGCCACCTTGACATGTTTTTCACTTTAGTTTGTTAGGAGGGTGTTTGAGACATGAGAGGGTTTGTTGTTTTGCTCAGCAACTTAAATGATGTTATTAATGGCAAATTGACTCTCCCTCAACCCCTTCTTCCTCCAAGTGTAACGTTTTTATGTACATTTTGTCACTGAGACGCCTTATCTCTCTGCTGAGGAAAGGCTGAGGGACCTGAGTCTTTCTAGTCTGGAGAAGAGAAGGCTGAGGATGAATCTGATCAATGCCTATAAATACTTCAAGGGTGGGTGTCAGGAGGATGGGGCCAGGCTTTTTCCAGTGGTGCCCAGGGACAGGACAAGAGGAAATGGGCACAAACTTGAATGTAAGAAGTTCCATCTCAACATGAGGAGGAACTTCTTTGCTGTGAGGGTGGCAGAGCCCTGGAAGAGGCTGCCCAGGGAGGGGGTGGAGTCTCCTTCTCTGGAGACATTCAAACCCCACCTGGACACGTTCCTGCTCTGGGTGGACCTGCTCTGGCAGGGGGTTGGACTGGGTGATCTCCAGAGGTCCCTTCCAACCCCATGCGATTCTGTGAAAATAGTCAGTAGAAATCTTTTCAAAGAAGCTCATTCTGATGACGGTCAAAGGTCTTCAGGATTTCTGAAGTGTCTGTTTAAGTTTGACTGTATTGTGTCTCACCTCACTGGCTGTAGCCCATTCTGCATCTGTTTTTACACCAAACAACCCACTTTGTTTGTGTTTGTGATGTTGAAGTGGTGGTTGTTTGCAAAAACATTAGTTTTTGCTGAGTGATGGGGGATGTAACCGGCCAAGCTGTTTTCCTGAACACCCTCTCCCTTCGTCGCAGCAGTCTGTGCCCCAGACCTTTTACCTTTGCTTCCTTTGAATGAGTTCATTTCTTCAGACAGTGCTAATTACTAGTTGTGCTTCATGCCTTTGCAGATGAAGTGTCTCTGGGGGCACGAGGACGCTACAAGGACCGGACCCCGTCGGTCACTCACAGCCCCGAAATCATGGACCCCTCGGAGCTGCAGCCCTTCTCGAAGCCCGAGGCGGCGCTGACGGATGCCCTGGCTCTTCTGGCTGACGATGACTGGTGGGTGCCAGCACCTCTGCAGCCTGCACGCTGGGATTGCAAGTGATACAGGAGAAAAAAGAAGGAAAAAAAATGTGTTTTTTCAGTCCAAATCTGGGTTAGAGTGTCGCTGTTGTAAATTCATAGAATCATAGAATGATTTGGGTTGGAAGGGACCTCAAAGATCATCCAGTTCCAACCCCCCTGCCCTGGGCAGGGACACCTCCCACCAGCCCAGGTTGCTCAAGGCCACATCCAGCCTGGCCTTGAACCCCTCCAGGGATGGGGCAGCCACAGCTTCTCTGGGCAACCTGTTCCAGTGTCTCACCACCCTCAGAGTAAAGAATTTCTTCCTGAGATCTAATCTGAATCTTTTTTCTTCCAATTTAAAACCGTTTCCCCTTGTCCTATCATTACCCTTCCTGGCAAAGAGTCCCTCCCCAGCTCTTCTATAGGCACCTTCAGGTATTGAAAGGCCGCTATAAGGTCTCCCCGGAGCCTCCTCTTCTCCAGGCTGAACAATCCCAGCTCCCTCAGCCTGTCTTCACAGGAGAGGTGCTCCATCCCTCTGCTGCACCTGTTTCAGCTGGTCCATGTCCTTCCTGTGTTGAGGACTCCAAAGCTGGACACAGACTCCAGGTGGGGTCTCACGAGTGCAGAGTAGAGGGGCAGAATCACCTCCCGAGACCTGCTGGCCACACTTCTCCTGATGCAGCCCAGGACACAGTTCTTTGGTTTAATATTTTTATGAAAATTTGCAAACGTTTTTGAATTTAAATAAATATTTTTTTTAAATAGGGAGAAGAAAATTGAAGGTCTGAACTTTGTCAGATGTCTGTCTGCCTACCATGCGGCTGTGCTGACTGTGAAGCTGCACGAAACGAGTCTGGCTGTGGCTCAAGAGGTTAAATTTTACCTGTCGGAATATTTCACTGCCTATATGTGTACATATATATATGTATTATACCTCTGTGAGACACTGACATGTGAAATGTTCAGTTAGTTTTCCTGTTAGGCAGTCTCCAAAGGCTGAGCCTGTCGTTCAGCAAAGCAGCTCATGCTGCAGGTGCCAACCCTTGGTCTGATTTGCCAAAGAGACTGAAAAAAAAATGAGATTGTAACTTGATATCATTTTTCATGTGTATATATTTTAATTCTCAGATGTTGTGAATCAAGTTAGAAATGTATTTCTCAGCTGCTTTTAATGTTACTTAAAGATTACAAGGGGAAACATTAAGCTTGACTTATTTTACAGTGTATTTTGTAAACATTATTCATTGTTTGTTTGGGTTTTTCCTGTGTGCAGGTCAAGAATTTACGCTCAGGTGTTTCTCGAGCTGCTGTGGTCTGTTTAGGGGATTTGTTCACCTACCTGAAAAAGAGCATGGATCAAGAACTAGATAATACAGTAAAAGTCCTTTTGCACAAAGCTGGTGAATCCAACACATTTATAAGGGAAGAGGTAGACAAAGCACTGAAGGCTATGGTTAATAATGTGACTCCAGCACGTGCACTTTGTTCTCTTATAAGTGGAGGGCAAAGGTAATTCTTACAAAGACTTTATAAAGAAATAACTTGTGAATAGATTAAATTTATCACATAGAGTGTTTTATTTTAACAAATAAATGGCAATACAATAGTCAGGACTATGACAATGTAGTAAGTCAGCTCTGCGGAGCTGCTCCCCAGGGCAACGGCTGGCGGCAGAAGATGGAGCCCCCCGTTTCCTTCTGTACATTGTGTAAAAAGTTGGCTGTTGGTTTTGGAGCTTGGTGTATTTTCTGGTGGTTTTGCAACTCTTCAGTCGCTGTTGGTGTGGGATTCTTAGGAAGCTGCTCTCTTGCTTTGCCTGGTGAAGCTCTCACAGCGTTCCTGCCTGCCACTCGCTGCCGCTGCTACTTCTGATGTTGAAAGCTGATTTATAACCTCCAGTTCTCTCGCTGCAGCTGCCCTGGCTGCTCCCTGTGCTTCTCTACACTTGGCTGCTTAATGGTCATCTGCTCTGCATTTTATTTCCCTTTGCAGTGGTGGTGGCTGTTCTTTTGAGTGCCTCAAAGGTGCTGAGTCCCCGGCTCTGGCTGCATGTTTGGCTTCTGACCTTCCCCACTCTGTAGCAGAACTTACATTCCTTTCTTGCACTCTCCCTGCTAAGTATGTTGTTCTTTTCCTTTTATAACCTCGTTCACTGTAACAGCAATACTTAATTAAGCCCAGTGCATTAGTGTCATACCTGCTTGTATTTAATCTCTTGTCTCTCTCTCCTCACTTAGGCGACTCTCTCATAGGCTACATTTCTCATAGGCTGTCCCTTCTGTTAAATATTAAATATTTCAGATTATAAATCAATCCGTAGACTTTCTGCACGGCTACAAATCATAAGAGTTAGTCTTGATTCAAACTGTGGTTCCTATTTTGTTTCCCGGGAAGCTGGTTGTTGTGGGATATATTGACTCTGTCTCCTGAAGGCCAATGAAAACTGCACTGCCGTTGCCTCAGCCTTAAACTGGAAGGCAACTAGCAGCCTTGGGATTGAAAGGATTCACCAATCCTGCCCGCACCTAGTGGTTTTTGTGAAAAATTCTGTGAGCTGTGAGTCAGGGAGTCATTTCTTCATGGCTAAGGAGACCTCAGTGATGGTGTGCAGTGTGTTTCTGGTTGGTGAGACAGCAGTGGGGCTGGAGCAGCGCTGTGTGTTACAGCTCTTCTGGCATTGCCTTCAGGAAACTCCTGTTGCCATCAAAGCCCCTTGCTCTCCAGAGGCTGTAACAGTCAACACAAGAATTATTAGCATTCCAAAGTGAAGATTTGGGAGAAAAATGCTATGTGTCTGCAGCACAAAGTGGAAAGGTTCTGCTTGGCACAGCTGGGTAATTACACAAAGGATATCTTTTCTAAATTTGGCTTGCGCATGGAGTTGCTTACATTCATCACACTGAGGTGTGAGTTAACAGTTACTGTTTTGCCTGCAGTTTGTAAGACCTTTTAAAATTTACCTCTTTTCTGCTCAACACATTTCAAGCCTGCTGCCATCATAAGTATTAATGCTTGCAACCCTGAGTAGATAAATCTACTGATTCTTTCTCAGCTGCAGAGTTGTTTCTGACTTTACCAACCAGAATAATTAAAAACATTTCTGTTTGCTCCTGTGTGCTGCTGCTCTAAAGGCTGCTGCTGTGAGCTCAGCTCTGGGAACAGGTGCTCCATCCCAGAGCGTGTCTGCGGGGCTAGGGCTGGAACTGGCTGGATTTCAAAACTTTTAAAATCTTGTTTATTATCTATATGAATTGTTCTGAGGTCTTAAAAAAAAAAAAAAAATTCTGACTGTTTTACATGAGCAGCGGGCATTGGTGGGGCTTCTTTGCTGCCATGGAGTGAGGTCTGGAATCTCCCAGTCCTGGTTTGCCACGGGGGGTGCAGCAAGAGTTTGGTTCTGGCCCCCCTTCCCCGAGCCTGACACGGCCAGGGCTGCTCAGCACCTGGGGATGGCTCCTCCAGCATTGTCCCTGGAACCAGAGAAAGGGAAAATGGGGGTGAGACAGGAGGAGAGGCGGTCAGGACAGAGGCTGGAGGTTCACATCACACCCCAAAGCCGGGGAGCCACCGACGTGGTTTACCAGGGTCAGCCCTTCCCTTAGCCCTCTGCTTCAGTCCTGCTCTCCCCAGGGATGCTGAGCCATAACACACGGCTCATTCCCTGCAGTGACGCTGGCCTCAGAGCAGGACTTTTAATCCAAAGGGAACAATGACATTGGAAAAGTCTGAATTTGCACAATTGTGTACTCTGAAAGCGTGTGGGATCAGCAGGGGCAGCACAGTTTCTATAGAAGGTTAGTTTGCTGCACAAGATTGAAAATTATTCCAGCTTTTCTCTCATTTTCGTTGGCAGAGGTGTTTAATGGCCCCTGTTTTGTAGAAAACAGACTTCCCCAAGATTTTTAGAAGTCGATAGAATACTGCTTTATTTAATTTTAAATTGAGATAAAATACACAAGGTGTGTTTCGGAGCATAGGGACTGCTTTTTCTTAAAGTTGATGTAAAGAACATGTAGTAGCGTGCTTTCTAAAATACTTAACAATTATTCTAAGGAAAACTAGAAACTCAATCCTAAGAAGAAGAAAGTTACTGGTTTTACTAACCCAAAAGCTGTAATTAGAGGTTGAATCATAGAATCATAGAATCATTGAGGTTGGAAGAGACCCCTGGGATCATCGAGTCCAACCATCTCCCCTACTCTACAAAGTCCTCCCCTACACCATATCCTTCAGTACAATGAGAGGTTGAAACTGACTTCGAACAAAAATATTAATAATTTTTCATTTGCATTCTTGTAGTTTGAGATTTGAAGTGAATGAAATGAAATTGAATCCAGAGCGTTATCCTTTTAAATAAAGTGAGTTGTCTTTGCTCCACGAGGTCTTCTGTGTACAGCCAGAATGTGCCTGCGTATCAGCAGTGTGTACCACTTATAGATTATGCTGGGAGGAAAAAAGAAGGGTTGTGTACCATATTTGTAGAGCAGGTAGAAACTGCTGCTGAGGTGCTGCTGTGAGGCTGAAAGTGACTTCAAACAAAAATATTAATAATTTTTCATTTTTCATTTGCATTCTTGTAGTTTGGGATTTGAAGTGAGTGAAATGAAATTGAATCCAGAGCGTTATCCTTTTAAATAAAGTGAGTTGTCTTTGCTCCGCAAGGTCTTCTGTGTACAGCCAGAATGTGTCTGCGTCTCAGCAGATTATAGATTATGCTGGGAGGAAAAAAAAGAAGGGTTGTGTACCGTATTTGTAGAGCAGATAGAAACTGCTGCTGAGGGAGAGGGTAGAAACAGGGAACCGTTTAGGTTTGTCCTGGTGTAAGTGACACAGGGCTAATTTCTCTTCTAATGCTTGAGAAAACTGCGCTTTTAGAAGACCCTAGTATCTGAATTGGTGAAAATACTCACTTTATAGGCAGCTATGCTATGTGTAATTCAAGGTCTTGGTGTTTTCGAGCTCCCCAGGTGTGGGGATGAGGAGAAGCAAGACCTGGGTGCTTCACCCAAGCTGCCAACAGGATTATTTCATACCACAAATGGCACATATAGTAGAAATTAGAAAGTTTTGTGGGGAGTTCTCTCTTTCTCCCTCAATGGCTGCCACGCTGAGAACTCCTTGCCCCGGTGCCAGAGCTCTGAGCCCTTCCCCGTGACTCGCAGGGTCCCACGTTGGCTGTCCCTGCAGGGAGTGTATGGCCTCCTGGGATGGCATGGGCTGGGGATAGTCCAATATTTTAAAATATTTTTAAATACCAATATTTTATATTGGTATCAGGATCAATATATGTTCTTTAGTGTCATTAATGTCAATTATCTGGTCTTATTCTATTAAATCTGTTCTATTTCAGCCCTTGGGTTTATTTGTTTTTCCCAGATTCCCCTTCCCAGGTGGGGAGGGGTCATTGAGTGATAGAATTAATTCTCTACACAACAGTAAATCGTTGTGGGTTCCTCAAAGCATAATGAGGTTGGAAAAGACCCTGAAGATGATCGAGTCCAAGCGTTACCCTGGCATTGCCAGGACTGTGACAAGTGAAGTCACACATGGGGGAGCAGGGGGGGCTGAAGGGACTCTCTGCTGGGCTGAGGAGATGTGGGCCACGAGGGAGTGCTGGTGCTGGGACCCACGCTGTCCCACTGCCGAGACCACACCACCCTGGTTAAAGATAGCTCGAATGGAAGGCTGCTCTCATTAATTTGCTGGGCTGTTGATTAACTAGTGCTTCTTGAGCACAGTTTCTTTGTGGGAGGGTGAAAAGGGTGCGTGGTTACACGAGCAGAGAGCAGTCTTCCTGCACGTTTGTATTTTGGAATTGCCTCTAATTATCGATAGAGTGACACAGCAAATCTGTGGTTACACTGTGTCTGTTCCCCTGCAGGTATTACGGCCGGAAGATGCTCTTCACTATGATGAATCACCCTGATTTTGATAAAACACTTGAGAAGTACGTGCCGAGCAAGGATTTGCCTTACATCAAGGAATCTGTTAGCAACCTGCGGGAAAAGGTGTGTGGAAAAGCTCTTGTTTAATGGCTGGGAAATGTAAACATGTACCAGTGGTTGTCAGTAGTAGAAAATGCCCCTGCAGGAAACAGGGGCAGTGATTTGGAGCACAAGACAAGTCCTTGAGTAAGTACAGCAGGGAAGGTGCTGGCTGTTGGCTGCCCTGTGGTGTCCTTCCTCCTGGCAGATACGCTGGATCCAAGATCCTTTGGTCTGTGTGGCTCCCGGAGCTGCTATCCCAGTGTCTCCAGCACTGCAGAACCATACCAGCTGTGCTAATTAATGGTTTTGTGCAGGGGCTGGGGGAGATGCCGTTAGATACGCCCTCGGCGAAAGGACGACGGTCCCACACGGGCAGCGTTGGACACTCGAGGTCATCCTCTACTTCCAGAGATGCTCTCAGCGTCACTGACAGGTAACCATCTCCAGTGTGGGACCCTTCACCTCTGGGACAATGGCCTCACTGCAAGAGGAAATGGCCTCAAGTTGCCCCAGGGGAGGTTTAGGATGGATATTAGGAAAAATTTCTACATGGAAAGGGTTGTGAAGCCTTGGCAGAGGCTGCCCAGGGCAGTGGCAGAGTCTCCATCCCTGAAGGGATTTAAAAGCCAAGCAGACGTGGTGCTGAGGGACATGGGTCTGTGGTGGGTTTGTCAGTGCTGGGTTGATGGTTGGACTCGATGATCTGAAAGGTCCCTTCCAACCCAGGCAATTCTGTGATTCTAAGAGTATAGAAACGTTCACAACAGGGTTGTGAAAATTAAACATTCCTGAAGGAAAAGGAAAAACTTGACATGTCCCAGATAACAGTTTCCCTATTTAAAAGAGTTTGTCTGTGCATTTTGAAGTCAGTTTGTCTACCGACTGCCTAGGAAAATACCCACAGGACACAAACCACTGGAACTCACAGTAGATCCATGTCACCATCAGTTCAAGATATTGCTGATTTCTGCCACTGCATAAAAAAACCCACACCTAATGGTGGCCACAGTGCAACTTACCTGTTTGTGTGCTTAGGGACACTAAGTGTTTAGTTAGATCCTAACCAGGGATGCTGAAGGTTTTAGAGCATACTCTGTCCATTTTTAGTTTTCTCTTTTGTCTTCTAATAGATCTTCTATTGAACTGAAAAATAAGCCCCTCAAAATTTAAACCAAGCCAAAAACCTGCCCCAGAGAATCTAGAGTTCACAGGGGCTGGGAGTGCCTTGGGGCTGAATACAGTGTCTGGTCAGCAATGGGTTTGTTTAATGCACTTTCTGCTATTCAAAATAATAGCTAATTCCACACTGGATGGTAAATTTTGCTTTGGGATGTAAAACTACATATCCCCTTCCTGGGAAGAGGGGCTACCTCCTGCATTCTGCTGGGGAGTCTGGCCAGCAGGAGGTTAGATGCCGCCTTTTGTTCTCCCACCTGATCAGTTTGAATTTGAAAAGGCAAGAAAGGTGTTTATTCCTTTCTCCAGCAAAGACTTCTGTCTTAGGAAGAGCTAAGGAATGAGCTAGTGGCTCTGTCTGGGCTGGTCTGTAAATGCAGGATGCTTACCTGGGCAGAGAAGTGATTTCACAGATTTTATAATTCTTCCTGTGACTCTCAATAGGATTAGATGCTGCAGAATATATTCTATGAAGAGCTGTTGCATGTTTACCTCAGCATGGCATGTGGCTTACTGAGGTGCCACCTGGACTGGGATCGGTACTGAAAGTACTTTGAGAATAAAGAATTAAACCACAGTAACTTCTTTTGTGAAGAAGTTCCCAAGTGCTTCTGTGTTCACTGAGCAACTTTTCCCTTCCCAGCAGAGAGGCTGCAGAAGCCCGTGAAGTCACAAGAAAACCAGCTCCTCGTAATTCCCTGGAAAATGAAGAATATGTTAAAGACATCATCGGTTTGTTGAACGCGAAAGACTTCCGTGACCGAATAAATGGCATTAAGCAGCTGTTATCAGATACAGAGAACAATCAAGGCTTTGTTGTGGCGAACATTGTGAAGGTAACCCCACGGAAACGGTCTGTTTCAAAGGTCTTTGAAGTCCTGTAGCAAAGATTTCTGATAAAAAAAATCCTGGCTCCCTCTTTCCTAAGAAAGTGTGATTAACAGGGAGACACTGAGGGGCAGGTGGGGTTTGCTCAAGGGGGAGATATGTGAGCTACAAAGGTAGAAAAGGGAGTAAAGAGGAGGAAGAATCTCAAAGTTCTCTCGTAGGGAAAGCCCTCTCTGCGCTGTGGCTGCGGTCCTGCCGCTGCTGAGGGAACATCACAAGGTGGGAACAGGTTGCAAAGAGAGCAGCAAGGACTTACCCAGAGCTGAAAAAGTGTCCCTGCAACTCGGCTGGGAGTTCTTCCTGCTCTCTTTGTCCAGGAGAAGGGTCTTTACTGTGATAAAGCTTAAGCTAAGTGTCCTTTCCTGTAGGGAAGGAGGTGCTTTAGGAGAAGGATACTGTGATGATGCCCAACAATCGTAAATTAAAGATAGATATAATGAAAGGAAAATTAATATTGTCTTCTAGCAGCGCAGTGTCTTTGCCGTGGAACTGTGAAATGCTTCTGGGGAACGTCGCTGTATCTTAACTGGGAATGTTTCTGAAATCTTCAAAACATTCTTTTTTGCTAAATAGAGCTATGTCTTGCTAAAAACCCTTGCTTGCAGAAAATACTAGTCATCCTGAAAGTTACAGACAGCTGCTTTTCCTCTGTTACCCTCTATAGGAACGATCCTAATTCAGAGGAGGTGAGGTACAGTTGAATAACACACAGTATAAAAATATCAAAATGTTGCCTTAGTTGCTAAAAAAAAGTATCTCAGGTATTTGCATTTCAGAGCCATCTTGTGCTAAGATGGACAAGGGCAGTGTAAGAGTAAAGCAGGAAATGTGATGCCCACCTCTAACATGAGTTGTTCATTCTGGTGAGTGCTGTTTGGATCCTTTTTCAGATCTTCGATGCTTTCAAGTCTCGCCTGCACGACTCAAACAGCAAAGTGAATCAGGTGGCTCTGGAGACAATGCACAAGATGATTCCGCTGCTGAAGGACAATTTGTCACCTGTCATCAACATGTTAATCCCTGCCACGGTGGACAACAACCTGAACTCAAAAAACCCAGGGATTTATGCAGCTGCCACAAATGTTATTCAGGCTCTGTGTCAGCACTTGGGTAAGGAATTGACTCTCCCTCAGGTCTAAAGAGTTTTAATTATACTAATTAAATTCAAAATTTTGAAGAGTTGCTCTTTCCAGCAGTTTCCATCCAATCATTACATTGTGTAATGAATCACTGGCTTCATTCTGACAAGTTCTAAACCATCCAAGTCATCTCAGTGTTTCCCAGTGCAGTGAAGAAATCCAGCTGTGGGACTTGGAGCTGCTTTCACTATTTTTCCAAAGCAGATGGTTTTTTTTCGCTGTGAGGGTGACCGAGTGCTGGCACAGGTTGCCCGGGGGAGCTCTGGGGTCTCCATTCTTGGAGATAACTCAGAAGCCATCTGGACACAGTCCTGGGCAACTGACTGCAGCAGTTGGACCAGGGGATTGGACCAGGTGATCTCCTGAGGTCCCTTCCCACCCAACCCATCTGTGTGATCCCGTGTTTCACTCTCCGGAAGCTTCTCGTGCTGCTCAGTCTCTCCCACAGGTCCCACAACCAGATTCCTGCTGATTTGTGTGGCCACAACTATTTTCCTTCCTCAGCTATGTTAGCTTTGGAGCACGAGCTGAGTATTTTCAGGAAGTCAATATGCTATGCTCTACCTGCTTCTCGCAGCTGGGACTTGGTCAGAGGATCTTTTTATGCTTTTACACCCTTAACTACATCACTGTGGTTTTTGAAGTTAATATATAGAATCACAGAACTGTCTGGGTTGGAAGGAACCTTTAAGATATCTAGTCCAACCATCAACCTGACTGATAAAACCCATCACTAAACCATGCCCCTAAGCACTACGTCAACCCAGCTTTTAAATCCCTCCAGGGATGGCGCCTCAACCACTGTCCTGGCGGCCCATTCCGAGGCTTAATAACCCTTTCCATGTAAAAATATACCATATAAAGATATATCATAAGTAAGGTACTTATTTACGTTTTTCCATATTGTGTTTATCTCCAGACTGTTTCATTTTCTGACTGAGAATCGTAATGTGTTTTGTTCCTTGCATTTAGACAACTCTTTGCTCCTCCAGCCGTTCTGCACAAAAGCCCAGTTCCTGAATGGGAAAGCGAAACAGGAGATGACGGAGAAGCTTGCTGGTAACTCACCTCCTGCTCTCTGGGTTGCCTTGTTTGTCTGCACCACGGCAGCAGAGGGAGCGAGTGTTGCTCCATAATGAGTTTTGGGGTGTCACAAATTTAAAGGCAAATTTGGTTAAAAATCAAAGACAAGTTTTAATTCGAATGTACACACGTGTTTTAATCTTGTGTTACATGTATGAGAGGAGTCCATACACATCCCAGCAGAAAGACAAGCGTTTGCCAGTTAAATAATTGTCTGAATTATAGGCAAAATGCTTCATCCTATGTGCATTTATAATACAAGGCTACTTCGTTCCTTAAACGCAAATGCCTACTGCGTATTTCTGAGATGGAGGGGAGGTCATAACGTATCAGATGTTACACAGTGCACTGTGAGAAATACAGGTCCTGTGATAATCCTTACTAAAAGAAAAAAAAAATCAAAAACAGAACAAAAAAACCCAAAACAAGCAAAACAAAAACAAACAAACAAAAACCAAAAACCCGCTTTGTTTCTTCTACTTGTTTTAATTTAACAGAAAATTGTCAGCAGTACCAGTGCTGCTGCGTGGACTCCTGAGAGAGGGTAAAAGGGGTGTTTTTGGGGAAAATCTCTATTTTCTGCCAGAGCACTGATGCTGTTGCTGCAACAGACACACTCCTGCGCACAGCGTTCCTTCTTTTGTTGCTCTGAGAAGATGATTTGGCATTAGGTGCTTTTAAACACCTCTTAAAGTAGGGGATTACTTCTGAATTGTATTTTAAAAATATACAAGGTCCCTTCAGAACAGCTCTTGGTGAGCTGCTGTCCTCCTTGCAGATGTGGTGACGGAGCTGTACCCTCGGAAGCCGTACGCCGTGGAGCAGAAGGTGCTGGTGGTCCTTTGGCACCTGCTGGGGAACATGACGAGCAGTGGCTCCTTGCCGGGGGCCGGAGGGAACATGCGGACGGCCACAGCCAAATTATCCCGAGCACTTTTTGCACAGATGGGCCCCAGCCTCCTCGCTCAGGCTGCCTCCCAGCCGCCCCACATCAGGAAGAGCTTAGAAGAATTCCTGGAGGCGACAACCTAGAGGAAGGAGCTCTGTGCCTGCGTGGAGCCCCCCTTGCCGAGGGGCTGGGACAGAGGGACAGCTGTTTACAGGGAGACGCGGGACCCTCCCCGCGTTCCCCAGGCAGAAGGGCCGCTGTGGGAGAGCCTGGGCCGCGCTGGGGCCGGGGAGCAGCCCCTGCTGCCCCTCAGCCTCCCCCCATTGCTGACCAATAAAGACACGTACCCACAGCCCCCGCTGCTTCTAGCGCTGAGCTTCGCCCCGTAGAGGAGGAGAATCCCGGAGATGGCTGTGCGGCACCCACAGGGGGGTTTGGGTGGCGATTGTCAAAGAGAGGTTATTTTTTTTAATCCACTGACACCGCTGCGCAGTGTTAAGCTTGGTGGGGCGCGGGGAGCTCGGCGCTGCCCGGGGAAGGCCTCTCGGGGGAAACTGGCCTTTCCCTTCCCTTGTGCCCCCTCTTCCCTTCCCCCGGCAGCCCGGTGAAGCGCCTGCGGACGCGCCCCGGCTCCGTCCGTCCGGCTGCCGTTACTGTACGCGTTTTACCCGGGAACCCGCGGCGAATAAATGGATTTATTTCTGTACGGGCCGCCGCCGCCTCCTTTCCTGAGGGGCGGGAGGGGAAAGCGCGGCGCCATTTGGCGGGCGGGAAGGGGAGGGGGGGCGTAGGGGGGAGCGAGCGGCGCAC